GAATGGCCCACGCCCACCGCGGTCAAACTGCCCCGGCCAGCCCCAGCGTCCACGCTCCGGAGAGTGGAAGTCCCACTGGGCCGAACCAGGAGGCAGCGCTGTGGTCCCTCTCAGAGTTTTGGAAGGAATCTGTTTCTTGCTTTTCCAGCTCCCAGAGGTGGCCCGTGTAGCCTGGCTTGGGGCCTCTTCCTCTCCCTTCAGGCCGTTCCTATTATCACCTCCACCCTCTGGCTCTAACTGCCTCCCCCGCGCCATCAAGGACCGAGATTATAGCAGGCTTGCCCAACCACCAGGGGACTGTCCCAGCCAGGCTCGGCTGGGCCCTCGAGGCTGTAGTCCCACAGGCAGTAGTCACCCTCCTTTGCCAGGTAGGGGACATGCTGACAGGTGCCAGGGACTAAGATGCAGACGCCTTGGGGGGCATTTTCCTGCTTGGCGCCAATGGAGTGGGTAGAACCAGGCCCTCTGTGGACGTCCCCCGGTGGGCAGGGTGGGGTGCCAGGGTGTTCGCCACCCACAGCTATGGCTTTGGCCCCCGAGCACCCCCGGTCCTGCCCGGCCCTGCCGGCGTGCTCAGCACCTCTGTCACTGACCAGTCTGAGAAACGGCAGCTCTCCCTCTGTCTGCAGGGGCTTCCCGGATGTCAGCCCCCAGCCTCTCCGCCCACTCGAGGCCAGGTGGCTGGAACGAGAAGCTCTTTAAGGGGGACACTGAGGCCGAGAGTGGTGACTCATTCGAGGTCGCCTGGGCAGTTATATGGCACACTCAGAACTGCCCCCGAGGATGCCGGGTTAAAACCCACGTGTTCCTGTCCGGGCCTGGCCTGGCACAGGCCTGCACAGGCGCTGGCTGAGGAAGGAGTTGATTCCCTAGAAGTGCTGCACCTCAGGGATTCGCGGTCGTGAAGGTGGAGCGTGTGGGCGCCTGAGTGAGCGGCCCAGCGCCCGCTGTCTGGTCCTTACGCAGCCTGCGAGCTGACCTTCCTGCAGGGCCTACTCAAAGCCAAGGGGCCCGAGGCTCAGGGAGGGTACGTGACTTGCCGGGGTCACACAGCTAGCCGGCAGTCTGTCCAAGCCAGCGTGCCCCCCCCACCATTCTACTTAGCCACCTCCCACAACCGAATGGCAAGAGACACCCTCAAGGCAGGAGAGCTCACCAGAGCAAGCACAGGGACTGAGAACAACCTGGACCCCTCGTGATGCCTCTGCCTCGTGTCCCTGGCCAGGCCGAGACCAGCGTGCAGAGGGCCTCAGTGGATGCCAGCCGCGCCACCCACCAGCTGCAGGAGACGGTCGACACCTTCCAGAGGCAGAAGCTGAAGGACCTGCAGGTTAGGACACACGGCCCGGGTCAGGAGCACCCTGGGCCGCCCAGAGCGTGCACGTTGCTGTGTGCACATGTGTGTCTGGGTGAGCGTGTGTGAGTGCGTGCCCACACAGCTCCCAGGACAGTTAATCCTGGCCGCGGGGTGCGAGCGACTGCTCAGGGCAGCTGTCCCACACAGCTGGCTGCCTGAAAGCCACAGCTCCAGCCAGGAGGCGATGGGGCCAAGCTGGCCGCCCAGCGTGCCTTGCCTGCCCCACTCTGCCTTCCATACGGTGGCGCACAGGACTACGCACCCCGGGGGAGGATTGCCTGGACCCCAGAGCTGGCGACCCGCTCGTGAGCACTGCTCTGTCCCTCTGGGGCAGTGTCGGCTATGGCTGACTCGGAAATTCGGCAAATGTCAAGTGCATATCCACTGAGTGCCAAGCAAGGCCCCTGAGCTCACGGGCTGGATGGCCTCTGGGAAGGTGGGGAGATCACATGACCAATGACATGCCGGGCCGGCCCCTGGGGTCGCCGTGGGCACCTGCCTCCCACACAGCATGTCGGCACCCAGGGCAGACCCCTTGCCCAGTGCATCCCCTGCCTAGTCCCGGCTACTGAGTCCAGGGCCTGGCACCGAGGGGCTCAGTGAACACGCGCAGGATGGACGAGAAAAGGAAGGGACAGACAGACGCAGGGGGGTGGCACCGAGCGTCTCTGGGCGGGCAGCCCTCGGGCCGGTGGGCACTGAGCGCCTGAGATCGCAGTGCCTGGCGGGGCTCCTGAGAGCTCGGCCTCGGGGTGCAGGGCCAGGGCCAGCAGCAGCGTGCAGTTTCCAACTAAGGTCGAGCTATCCCGAGATAAAAATGAGACCTTAAACTACTGAACCCACCATAAGACCCCTGTGGGCCGCCTTTCTAACCAAAGGATCATGTTTACAAAATAGTTCTGAGGTCCTCACCCGAGGCCAGGAATACAGGGGCCCCCACCTTCTTTCTAAGAGCGACTACAAGTTACGGGGCCCATCCTGAAGGCTGGGGTTTGGCGTGGGGTGGGCCTAGCTCCCAGGAAGCCGAGGCCGGGAGCCCAGTGTGAGAACTGCGCCGGGAAGGACACCGCTTCCCTAGGCCACATGAGTAAGTGCAAGATGGGCCTCGAACCCCAGCCTCGCCATCTGGCAGCTGTTACAGAGCAGTGCTGCTGCCTGGGAGCAGGGGTGGGAGCAGGCAACCCTGTCATCCTGGGCCCTCCCCTTCTCTCCAGGCCTGAGGCCTGCCCCGGGCCCCTCACCAGGGCTTTCCCAGGGCACGGGAGTGCTGTCTTCCCAAACAGCTCGCTCCAACCCAGCGCCAGCCTGCGTCCTGCCGGGCCCTAGTGAACTTGGCACCTCCCACGGGAGCGCCTGAGATCGCAGTGCCTGGCGGGGCTCCTGAGAGCTCGGCCTCGGGGTGCAGGGCCAGGGCCAGCAGCAGCGTGCAGTTTCCAACTAAGGTCGAGCTATCCCGAGATAAAAATGAGACCTTAAACTACTGAACCCACCATAAGACCCCTGTGGGCCGCCTTTCTAACCAAAGGATCATGTTTACAAAATAGTTCTGAGGTCCTCACCCGAGGCCAGGAATACAGGGGCCCCCACCTTCTTTCTAAGAGCGACTACAAGTTACGGGGCCCATCCTGAAGGCTGGGGTTTGGCGTGGGGTGGGCCTAGCTCCCAGGAAGCCGAGGCCGGGAGCCCAGTGTGAGAACTGCGCCGGGAAGGACACCGCTTCCCTAGGCCACATGAGTAAGTGCAAGATGGGCCTCGAACCCCAGCCTCGCCATCTGGCAGCTGTTACAGAGCAGTGCTGCTGCCTGGGAGCAGGGGTGGGAGCAGGCAACCCTGTCATCCTGGGCCCTCCCCTTCTCTCCAGGCCTGAGGCCTGCCCCGGGCCCCTCACCAGGGCTTTCCCAGGGCACGGGAGTGCTGTCTTCCCAAACAGCTCGCTCCAACCCAGCGCCAGCCTGCGTCCTGCCGGGCCATAGTGAACTTGGCGCCTCCCACAGGGCACTTGATACACTGCAGCCCTTCTGACCAGCCACAGAGAGAAGCCGCGACGCCGTCTCTAAGCACACCTGGCCCCGTTGGCCCCACCAGGCTATGGGGCCCTGCCAGGCTGTGAGGTCTCTGGGCTGAGCAGCACCTACCGGCAGCCCCTCTCCTCCCGGGAAGGTCCCCTCACAGTCCAGGGTCCTATAGCTCTCAACTTGCAGGCACCCATCTGGGTGAGAGAGGTCAAGGCTGCTGGACCAGCCCCACTAGCCGCGTGGAGGAAGGGACACCCTCAGCAAGTCCTTGTGGAGAGGCCAGCCCTCGCGCCTTGCTGGCACCATCCCGTGCAGGGCGAAGGGGCGGCTCTGGACCTCAGACCTGGCAACTCCCCGGCCCTCGGCTACAGCAGCCAGGAACGGAAGGACACTTGTCCAGGGGCCTTGCGACTGCACCGCTCATGAAGCAGAGGACTGAGAGCAACCCGTGTCCAAGTGCCAGGGCCTGTCAGACAAGTGGCGGCCCCTCCACACGACAAGTGCTGCGCAGACATAGGACAGCAGAGAGGGCCTGGCGGCCTGTGGAGTGGCCAGGACTGACGGCGGGCTGGAGAGAGCAGGGACCAGAGCGCAGCCAGAAGGCGGGCAGAGGTCACGTGTCAGCAGAGGGAGCAGTGGAGAGAACACGAGAAACTTCTGGAAGTTACCCCACGGAGGAGACGGGTGCGAGAGATGGGAACAGGATGGAGAGCAAGCCCCCTCCACGGACTCGGTGCAGCTCTGGTGGGAACCATGCACAGGTGTTATCTGTTCAAACGGAACGTGACATATTGGGCCAGCAGGTGGCGTGGTGGTCACGGCCCTGGACTCCCACATGGCCGTCCGTGGTTCAGGTGGACCTGGTGGCTTGCTTTCTCACTTTCCCTCTTCCTCTCTGTCTCTCTCTGGTAAGTACATGTGCCCTACAGAAAAAATTTTAAAAAATAATAAATAAAATAACATAAATATTGGTTTCTTGGAAAAGTCACGACAAATTTTTCTATGCAAAAATGCACCATGACTTTCCTGATGATCCAATCATTTTTCTTTAAATACATTTTTTAGAGAGATTTTTGCTATAGGGCACGTGTCCTCGCCGGAGAGACAGAGAGAGACAGAGAGACAGAAAGTGAGAAATCATCCCCCGCCGCAATCCCTTCTCCGGTTTCCTCTTTGGATTTTGGGCACACACGCACATGCACCCGGCGTGAGTTTTAAGCCGCAGAGTGCGGGACTCAAACTGCGGTTGACTACATGGGAGTCCAGCGACATAACCATTATGCCTCCTGCCCAATTTTTTAAGTGTTTTTTAACAATTAAGGTGATATATTAAGACCCGTCCCCCCAGGAACTGCCCTACCCTCTTCTCCTCCGTCTGCGTGCCCCAGGGCCCGTCTCAGTGCTGCTGAGGCGCTCTGGGCTTCTCTCCCCGTAGAGAATATTTCTGGACTTCGTGACCATCGAGATGGTGTTCCACGCCAAAGCGGTGGAGGTATACTCCAACACCTTCCAGACCCTGGAGAGCTACGACCCGGACAGAGACCTGCAGGTGGGTGGGGCGCCCCAGCTCCTGCTTGGCAGTGGGTGGCAGGACTCGATTTGGGCTCTGTCTTGGTAGAAGCCGTTAGTAATATTCCACAGTTTTTCTGACCTCGAAGACTCATTCTAGCAACTGGATATTGAACCTAGAGGTGAGAATCTTCCCAGTGCTGCCTGGAATGTCAGCGTGACCTTCACTGGGGAGTCTAAAAACAAATGGACGGGGACCAGCAGATGGCGTAATGGTTATGCCACTGGACTCCCACCTAGTCTACTACAGTTCGAATCCTGGACCTGGCCACTTAAACTCATGCCAGGTGTATGTACATGCGTGCCCAAAGTCTCAAGAGAATGGAGAAGGGATTGTGGCGTGGCCATCCCCTCTGGGGGGTGATTCCTCGCTTTCTGTCTCTCTGTCTCTCTCTATCTCTCCAGCAAGCACACACACCCTATAGCAAAAATCTTTCTATGAAAAAACAAAAACAAAACACAGATGAACAGAGGTGGCTCCCTACGGAAGTATCTCCTGGCCGATGCTTGGCACCGTTTGGCTGGAGAATGAGCACTTCTCTTCACCATCTCTGATAGAGCCAGAACGAGCTGTTTGACCTCTCACACCCAGCGTCACAACCAGCCCCACCACGATGGCTCGTGGCAGTCTGGGCTCAGCAGGGCAGCTCTCACTGGGATGGCTCGTGGCAGTCTGGGCTCAGTAGGGCGGTTCTCATTGGGGTCCTTTGTGCAGTCACAGTTGGCCCAGGCTGGGGTTGGGGTCGCTTCAAAGGTTCCCTCGCTCATGTCCAGCAGATGAATGGGTACAGGACCAGCTGTGTGACTTGCAGGGCTTCGTACAAAATGAAAGTGGAAGGCCCTTTATTCAACAATGACTGAGAAACTCAGGTTAGGACCTGCGGAACATTGAACGGAGCACGGGGTCCTTCTGCGTGGGAGGCCTGGGTGTCTGTGCAGGCCGCCCACCTACAAAGCCGCCCTCTCTGGGTGCTGTGGGGCCGGCAGCCCCGACCCCTGATAGGCTTGGCCTTCCTCACAACATGGCGGCTGGTTCTGAGTGTGAGGGTCCTGGAAACGTGGCGGGAACCGCGTTACCTCGAGTGGCCTCGTCCCAGGAGGCCCTCAGCTTTGCTGCTGCTGCATTCCGTCTGTGGGAGGTGATTTGCTACAGTGAGCCTCGTTCACGTGGGGGATTCCGGCTCCCCAAGGAGCTGAGATACGCGTAAAGACCACCACCCGAAGTTAACTGACGGCCAGACTCGCAGGCGTCCCGCACCCTATGGCCTTCTCCAGGCCCGTTACGTTCCCGCGTGGCTGTGGCTCAGTTGCCCGGCCTCTGGGCCGCTGGTTCCCCCTCTATAAAGGAGAGTAGTAATGCCCCGCAGAGCTGCTGCCGAAGCTCAGAATACCCCGAGTGTCCGCTGCCCACGGCCCGCGTGTCCTCACATTCCTCCCACTCCCATCACGTCTGCCCAGCAGGACTTTAGAGCCAGGATGCAGGGAGCTTATGGGCATTTTGACACCCGGCCGCTCGCTGACACCAGCCCCTCCCCATCTGTCCCGTGGTTCCTCGCCAGCCAGGTGAGCACTTGTGGGGGGTTGGTGGGGGCGGAGAGTAAACTTGTGGGGAAGTGGGGTCACCGGGGGAGGCCGGGTGCTGCAATCCCAGAGAACTGAGAGGGGGGCTGAGGACTCAGGTTTGGAGGCGCTGAGGAGGTGGAGGGCTGTCCTGGGACCTGACCATGGCGTTCCCTCCGCCTGGGCCAGCAAAGCCTGGCGACATCACTGTGTGGTGCAGGACCAGCCTCCCAGTGGTCGCGTGTGTCCCAGGCGCCCTCTAGAGGCATGGTGGAGCGTTTGCACCCGGGAAACAGCTCCAGATGGGTCCAGGCCCATCCTAACCTGGAGGCTGTGGGTTTCAGATTTCGGAATTTCTGCGACGCTAGGAAAGCACCAGGCACGCGCATACGTGTCTCTAACGTAACCCTCACACGAAGCCAGGTAGCAGGCAACCACGGGGCTGCAGAGGCTCAGTTTCACGATCCTCGCCCAACACAATTTCATTGACTTTTCCTTTGCAGAATGAGCTCATTTCACCGAGTGCTTTCTCCCCAGGAGAGGGGGCTGTCAGCAAACACACTGACATTTCTGCAGGAACCTTTGTATGCTCCACAAGTAGGATAAAGACTGAGCAGCCTCACCCTGTCAGGGCAGGCTCAGTCCCAGCGCAGGGGCTGCACTGCGTGCCTGTGCGTGTGCGTGTGCATGTGCGTGTGCGTGTGCTGGGGCTTCTAGTGACTTTCAGGACAATTCTCTCCAAAGGTAGTAGAGGGAGCACAGCTCCTAAGTCAGCCTGTCCTGACCCGAACGCACTGCTCCGCTGCGTGACCCTGGGGAAGCCTCTCAGCCTCTCTGTCCTGGCCTCCTCACCTGCAAGTGGCCAGTAACACTATGTGAACGAGCTACGTGAAGTGCTTACAACTCTGTTGTCGCACGCCACACCTGAGACCGTCACTGCACTGCCATGTGGGGATGTGCATGATAACAATGTTGTCTTCCCATTTAGCATGTGCAGAGCACCGGACGGAGCCAGAGGGAAGAGGCGGGTGAGGACGACTCCATGGAGGAGGCCCCCGTGGAGGAGCTCAGGGGACGGGGGCAGGAGGCCCACGAATAGGAAAGGGACCTGCCTGGCAGCTGAGCTGGGGCCGGCCTGGCCCCCGTGCGGACTGCACATCCTGAGCCTCGGTTTCTTCGTCTGTACAACAGGGACCACGGTGGGCACCTCCCAGCTGCCCTGGGAGTCAGTGCTCCAGATATGGGGCCTGCCCTCAGTGGGAGCAAATAAACACCACGGCCTCTCAACCTGCCGCCTCTTTAAGGTATATTTATTTGGGGCCAGCAGATGGCATAATGGTTATGTCACTGGACTCCCACATAGCTGACTGCAGTTCGAGTCCCGGACCCGGTGGCTTAAACTCACACTGGATGTATGTGTGTGTGTGTGCGTGCACATCCAAGATCTCAAAAGGAGAATGGAGGAGAAAGGGCTGTGGTGTGGCCATCTCCCCTGGAGCTTTCTGTCTGTCTCTGTCTCTCCAGTGAGTGCACATGCATCTATAGCAAAAATCTCTCTTAAAAAAGTTTATTTCTTCCATGGGAGAGCGGGACAGGCATCCCAGCAGGGCCTCGTGCTGCGCTGCACCCCAGCTCCGGCCAGCCTGTGCCATGATTGTGCCCACACGTGCCTGGCAGGGAGGCCCTGCTTCGCACCTGGGACCTTCCTGCACGGTCCCAGTTGCACTGCCACTGTGCCACCCCGGACCTGTCCCCCTCCTCTCTGCCCTTCGACCTGGGGTCTCCTGTGCTAATGCAGAACGGAACATTTGCTTCCAGGGCTGCCCTGGAACGTGCTGCAGATGCTGCTCAGAACCAGAAACCACCTCTTGGCCCTGCAGGCCCGGAGTCTGAGACGGGTATCAGCGGGCTGGAGGGAGGTCTGCTGCAGCCCTGCCTCTCCCTGGTGGGCGGTACACCTGCGAGAGTGGCCCTCCTCTTCCCACAGCCTTGGCCTCAGCCCCCATCCAGATTCCCTCTCTGTAAGGACACCCGGCAGATCGGATTACAGGCCTGTCCTACTCCAGCCTGGCCTTGTGACTGTCACCGGCAAGACCCTATTTCTAAACGAGGTCACAGCCCAAGGCCTGGGGGCTAGGATCCCGACATGTAAGTTCTGAGGACACACAGTCAGCCCGGAGCAGATGGGCACGTGTCCAGGGATGCCCTTGGGACCAGGATGCGTGGGTGGAGATCGAAGGGAGTGGAGGTGAAGGGTGGGTGGGGTCTGTGGTCTGGGCAGCCTGTTGAACACCCCCGGGTTTACATGCAGGGCCCGAGACCTTGACACGGTCTCCCAGGGCAGCCCAGGAGAACCCGTTCTTCCCTGCCTGGCTCAGTTCTGCAAGAAGGAGGCCTCTGTGAGCACATCCGGGCCCACAGCTGGGCTCTGCACTCCTCACTGTGTGGGCGTCTGGGTTATCCCCGAATCCATGGAAGCCTGACTGGTCCACAGTCCCCACTCCCTCGATGGGCCACGCCTGGCGGGGGTCCCAGCAGCTCAAAGCCCAAAAGCGCCCTGTCCCCGCTGTGGCATGGAGGACCAGGAGAGACGGCACAGACAGACTGCTCCTTGCACCAGCATCCCAGGCTCAGGGCAGACGTTCCACCAGCAGCCAGCTCTGCTGCAGCGGCCGCGGCCTTGGTGTTGGTGCCCAGCATGCACCCCGTCTCTGAGGGCTGCCACCTCTCGTGCCGGCTGGTGGGGAAGGGCTCCACTCTGTGGTCGGACGTCCCTGGATTCAAGTCCCCCGGGTGCTATGGTTTTGCCATCAGCAGAGTAGGGGACACGCGTCTTCCTCGTGGGGTCTCTGTGGGTCAGCCTCTTCACCACAGTGATTGTTATTGCCCAAGGCCCAGCTCCACTCCAACAGGCAGAAACTCCAGATACCTAGGGCATGCTAGATGCCCACGTGCACGCTATAGAACGATACGTGATTACTGTGTGATGTAGCTCACAGTGACACGGTGGTTCATAGTCTCTGATCGGTCACCTTTTACACCACGTCCACGTGTGCAGGAACGTCACGGAGCCTGTCTGCTGCCCCCTTGGGTGGTCACTTGGGCAGTAGCAACATAACTCATAGCTCCTTCCTCCCAGGCCCGGCAGCAGGGCCACGGTGGCAGGGCCAGAGGTGCAGGGCACGGGGTCCCGGGCTCGGAGCTGCTGGTCCGGACACTCTTCCTCCTGCGTGTTCTCTTTCCTCTTCTCTCCAAACTCACGCCTGTCCTCAGAGCAACGTGTACGGCGGTGGCAAATGTGTGGTAGAGGACAGAGTCCCCATGGTCACCACCCGAGTCGGCAGAGGCCAGACACTTGGTGCGGGGCCCAAGAGTGTCTCCGGCCCTGTGCGGGAGTGCCGGGGTGGGCTGCAGACAGGGCACCAGTGAGGGTCTGAGGGAAGCTCTGCACTCCACTAAGGTCGGAAATATAAAGTTACAAAGAAACACTGGACCAGCAGATGGCAAGATGGTTAGGTCACTAGACTCCCATGTAGTCAATCACTGTTCAAGTCCCAGATTTGGTGACTTAAAACTCACACCAGGCACGTGTGCGTGCATGCCCAAGACCTGAGAGGAGGATGGAGGAGAAGGGACTGCGGTGTGGCCATCCCCCTGGGGTGATTACTTTCTGTCTCTCCGTCTGTCTGGTGAGAACACGTACCCCATACCAAAAATCTCCCCCCAAAAGAAATTCCATTTGGAACCCGACTGCTCACACTCCTCTTAGCTTGTTCTGCGGATGCCAAGCAGTACATCTTAGGCGTGTGTCTGTAACACACTGGCGAATGCCCAGCTGCCGCCACTGGGTGGGGAAGGCTGCCCAGGAGGCCCAAGGCTGGCGTCAGGGCCCACCTGAACATTCCGGGCATGCTGCAGTGCCTGGCAGTCTGGCTGACCGGGAGCTGGGGCAGGACCACGCCTGAGCGACCGTCAAAGGTGCCTGTCTCTGGCTCCCTCTGTCCCTTTTCCTCTCGTAACCGAGAACAATAAGAAAACTTGGCCTCTGTTCATGCCCTCGGGGAGCCATGCGGACTCAGTTGGGCAGGACAGTGATAAGCACAGCTCGGTCCCTGCAAGTGCTCTGCACGCCGCACATTGGATTCCCGCAGAACAGCCTTGGCTGGGTGCTGTTCCCTGCCCATTTCACAGGTGATGAGATCGAGGCGCAAAGGACGGATGACAAAAGGACGCAGTCGGCTAGGGAGGCGCCGTCCACCCGGGGCCTTTTCCTGGTACTGCTGGGCCTTCTCCCGAACCTCGGGGGTCTTCGTGCCTTCGGAAGAGGCTTCTCCCTTCCTTGGAGTTTGCTTCTGAGTCTAGCCCTTGCCCTGCTGCTGGTGGGGTCCGTGTGACCCCAGCCTGGCCCTCTCTCCATGTTAGGCTATGAGAGGCTGTGGAGGGGCCAGGGTAGAGAGGTCAGCTCCTCCCACCCAATGACAGGGAGCATGTCCCAGCCCACTCCGGCAGACCCTCCCTAGGCCCTGCCCGCTGCCCAGGCTCATGGCCGGCCCGCCTGACTTGTTTAAGCCAGACTGGCAGGGGTTGGGCGTGGCTACCGACTGCCCACCACCAGAAAGGAGGCGGGCAGTCTACGGAAAGCGCCTGTCAGCCGGGTTGGGAGGTAGGAGAGGCCGTCGGGGCCCACCCAGGCCCAAGTGCCAAGGAAGGGCGCTCAGAGGGCAGCAGGAGGGGAGTCCCGTTGGAGGGCTCAAGGCAGGCAGGCCCCTGGGCTGAACCCCAGCCAGGCAAGGGTCCCCCCCAGTCACTGACATACACCAAGTGGCTAAGCAGACCCCTCATCGCTCTGTCCACAGAGCAGCTCTTCCTGCAACGCTCCCCTGTCCTGGCCATCGGACAAGACACCCACCCAGCTTCAGTGGGGAAGGCAGCTCCTTCACCCCAGGGAGAAAGGAGAACAGTCTAATGGAAAGCCAAGGACAGAACTGAGAAGGTTGTGAGCCTGCAAAAATCCTCGCAGGTATGTTAAACGATTAAGCACGCTCGCTTTTTCAAAAGAGCAGTTATTCCTGTCTCTATCTTCTGACAATCCAAGGTGTGGTATAAAAGTACATATGTTCTTTCTCAGGAAACAGCTTTGATTTTGGCACTGCTTTGAGATCCCCAACCGTGAAACTTTCTCAACCTTAAAATAGTTTGTAGAACCTGGCCCTGTGGGACTCGAACCTGCACGCCTGTGACAGAGCAGCAGCAGCATTGCGCTCGACCTGGCACCGTCTGGCTGTGACAGTGACGAGGCTGGGTCCTAAATGGACGTGCGGTGAGAACAGAGCGTCCTGTGAGGGCACGCCCGCCTTCCAGTGTGTGCCGCCCCTCCCCAGCCGGAAGGAACAGGTGGATGCACGAGTGACTTCCCAGCAGGGGCCCCTTCTAGAGTACTAAGACCCAGGGTTCCAGGCCTGTCTCTGCTTCCATGGAGCCTGGATGGGTCTGGCCAAACTGCACAGATGCCCTCTGGGAGGGGTGGGGGATGGCGAAGGGACAAAGCCAGCCTACCCTTACTCCCCTCTCTGCTAGTAACCAGGCACCCCCCACGAGAGCGCCATCCCAGCCTCTATGGCACGGCCGGGCTCAAGGCTGCACACCCAGCCCTACGCCCACCTCCCTCTGTGGAGCTCAGGCCGGCCGTGGAATGACGGTGACATGAACATTCTGGCCAGCGCCCGGTTGTGGACCAGCCACCAGGTCAGAGCAGGCTGAGTCGGTCACTGGACTCCATCCCTCCCACGGGGACACTGGGGACCGAGACACTAGAGAGCCTGCATGGGGATGGCCGTAGCCACACCGAACAACTGGAATCGACACGCTCACTTGAAATCCAACGACCAGTGTCCTCCTCCCCTGGTGGGGCTTCCTGGGACATGTGGCTTGCGTGGGCTGAGCAGGCCCGGTCTGCCTGAGCCTGAACACCGCACAGGGGTCCATCAGGACCCTCCAAGCCAGTATGACTCCCTTCGCTGTGGAACTGGCCGACAGCTTCCTAAGTGAACACGTCTCCGAGACAAATGAAGGAGCTCATAGGAGAAATGGCCGAGGCAGTGGAGTCGTGGGCGATGTGGTTCCGGAGACCGAACCGGCTCAGTGGGCAGGGGATGGGCCAGAACGAGCTCAGAGCTGCGGGGTCTGCAGGGACACTCACGTGGCAGCTTTGGCTCGTGGCTGAGGAAGAGGAAGCACCAGGCTCAGATTCCTCTGGCCAGCCCCATCCACCTGCCAGACAGGGCAGAGGTGGGCCGCTCCCGTCTCCTACCTCCCGCCGGTTGAGGTCGGGCTGCTGCTGCCTCCAGAAGGAGCACCCCTTCCTTCTCCCCCTGCAACACAGGACCCTCTCATTTTTAAAGTCTCCTTCCCCAAGCACCAGAGTTCTCAGAAAACTGGGCTCCCTGGCTCCCTGCTGTCTGCAGTTTCAGGTTATTCGGTAGTAACCGGGCTCACCATGCAGGCTTACCGGATCCTCCCTAATTAAAAAGCCAGCTCGTTAGCGTGGCCTGGAGAGGCCAGGCAGGGGCTTGGCATGGCTCCTTTACGGCATCACACTGCACTGCTCCCTCCAGAGCCTGGCAGACGGCGCTCACAGGGTGAGAAGCCACCCATCCGAGCAGGCCCGGGCAGCTCCTGCCCCGCTGCAGCCTCTCTTCCTGTAAAGAACTCTCTGGTGTAATGGGGTCTGGAGGAGCAGGGTTGTGGGGCCCACGGGGAGCAGGGAGCAGTATGCACTTTGACCCACATTGGCCTCGGGCCTGCGGTACAGTGCCGGTCCTGACGCAGCGTGTGCTCCCGGAAGCAGCCCAAACACCCGGGCTTCAGAGTGGGTGCAGAGCTGCACGCCTGGACTCCTTGAGCCCTCCATGTGGCTTCTGAGCTCCCTGGCCTTCTTTCCGTCCTTCTTTGGCAGCAGGAAGTCAGAGCCCGCTCCATGACGCCGCACAAGTACCTGCGGATCAGACCCTGGCTCCACCTTCTGCCTCACACTGGGCAGAGCGGTCTGAGCGTCAGAGGGGCTGCATGTACAAGATGCCACACAAATGACAGCAAACGCTCAACACAGATGAAGCTGCATCTCGCCCTGTTTTCAAAGCAAGGGGTTTTTATTTGAGAGCATTAACTGGATTTTGGTTCACTACGATCCCGGAGCCCTGCAGGTCAGACAGCAGGAACCCGAAACAGGCTTCCGACAACAGGACTTCAAAGTGGCGGCTGGACACCAGCGGCTGGGGCCGAGCACAGCCTTCTCCACACGCGCCGACGTCCCGCGCAGAGGCTGAGCTGCCTGAGTGGGCGAGGGGCTTCCAGAGCTCTCTTGCTCGAAAGGGTCCCTGTCTGAGCCCCGGGTGTGACTCCGGGTGTGTCTCCCCAGGCCAGGACCTCTGAGCAGTGCGGACTGTGTCTGTCTGCGGGTCTTCCGGGGCCCTGAGGGAAGGGACCGTGCTCGAGGAGAGGGGACTTGGACTCGGAGGGCGAGACATCAGCCTTCTCCCGGGCCCCCACGCCTCCTCTGGGGATGCTGCTCAGAAACCCTTGGTGAGCACCTGGCCAATGCCAGCCCCCAGCGAGAGAGAGCACGACCACTCGGCCCGCTGGCTCCTCGTGCAGCAGGGTGCCGGCTGCTGTGGTGTCCGTGCGGGCCGGGCCCAGCCAGCTCACTCAGCACCGGGTTTAATCTGCCTCCTGGGGCTAGGGCTGTGCGGACAAGGAGCAAGCAGCAAGAACAAAACCAAACGCTCCCCTCCATCTCAAGTTGCTATTTTAAGAAGTCTATGTGACAAAAAATAAACTCGAGATCATATTTGAAGGTAAAGTGCTTGGAAAGCCAACGGTCAGCCCCGTGCTTCCTCCTGAAGGCCACGCACGAGCTCTCATCCCTCTGCAGAGGGTCTGGGATCCATCTGTCCCCTCCGGGAATCACGAACGCAACGTTTACGCAAGGCCTACGTACACGGGGCTGTCCTGCGGGCACCCGAGGTGCAGTGCGCTTCAACTAACTCTGACGGGATGACTCTGCAGCTGACGGCGAGACCGCACGGAAAGGGCCCTGCAGCGAGGGGCCTCTGGCAGCCCGCGTGACACAGCAAGGCTTCACAGAAGTGGGGATGGCGTGCAAAGCGTCAGCGGCCGCAGCTAGATGTCTCGGGGGCCGCTACCTATGGGGCGGCACTGGCGTGAGAAGGATCTGTGCCCACAACCACGACATCACTTCTCTGAACAGCAACATGCACGGCTGGGGCTGCACGACTGGGGCTGCACAGCAGAGTGGCTGGACTCTGGAGGCCCCCAGAGGCCGCAGTAACTCACGCGCTGCGCCTGCTCCGAGCCCCAGGCTCTGGCTGCGCCTGCACCCAAAGCTGCCCAGGTGGTACCCGCTCCTGGTGGCTCTCACACCCAAGGCCACACCTTCATGCCCCAGCCCCACGTTCCACGGCCCAGCCAATCTGTGCTCGTCTCCAGAACATTCCCCGAGGGACCCTCTGGAGCCCTGGCCGGGGAAGTGACTCTCCGGCGTGTTTGTCACGACCACAGACGAGATGGCAGTTCCATCGGCTCGGATGTTGCACGAGGTAGAGAGGGAAGCTGGAGGGGAGGACGAGGTGGGGGAGTGAGCCTGCGGCCTAGGCCACCCTCAGGAACCAGGCCACGAGGGCCGACGCGAAGGCCCCGGTTGACCAGAGGCGTCTGCACGCGGGGAACCTGGCTGGCCTCGGAGCCAGTATGCCACTGCATGGGTCCGACCTTGGGCCTCTCAGGCGGCTGGCTGCCTGGTTCAGACCCTTAGAGGAAAGCCCTGGTCCCTGACACAAGGGACACCGCAGGTCCAAAGAACAGAGGTGCAGAGGCAGGGGCTGCAGAAGGCGACGGCGGCCTGGGAGGCTGTGGGGTGGAGGCCAGGCCACTCTGCGCCTCCCGGGGGTGGCCCAGCAGAAGCCGCTCCCGGCAGGCCCTGTGCGAGGAGGAGCGGCACCTTCTCTTTCCAGGTCCGAAGCAGCAGGGTCTTCTCTCTCTGTGCGTCTCGCCTGGCAGACAGCCAGTGCCTGCTCCCATGAGCATGGCACATTCTCAGCTTTGGAAGCCAGGGCACTTCCGGCGGTCGGCGCAGATACCTCAGCACGACGGGCTCTCCGGAAACTGCATGGTCCCGGGTGTCTACGGGGCCTACATGTCCCTGACGGCCCCGGGCGAACCACGGCAGGAAGGGCTCTCTTCCTCCCTAGGACAGGTGTCCTCCCCAGTTCTCGGCTCACGAGGGAGACAAACAGCAGGTGCCACCCCTGGACTGACGCTGAGGGGCTCATGGCTCCCAGCGGGGCCGCCCTCAACAGGAGCTCCACCTGCACCCCAGGCAGGACGCGAGCACCAGATCATCCATGGTGCCCAGCGGCGGCCGCCCCCTTCGGCGCGGCCCGCCGCCACCCTGC